TTTAGTATTTAATTTGCTATAGCTTAATCTATGGCTTTCCTTACTTGGGAAAGCCTAGTTAGCCATTTGTGATTGACTGTCCTTAAGTTTTGCTTTCCTAACCTTGGGCATTTACAGGAATTGCCTCTGACTTCAGTTTTGCTTGTTCACGTTGCCTGACAAAGCAACAGTGCCACCTCAGTCTAGTGACCTATTTGTTACTGACTTTCACAATAGTGTGTGCTTTATTATGTAAGCATATGTAAAATAGATGATAGCAAAAGGGCAACAATAGCAAAAGAGGCTGTAAGTAAAAATTTAATGTAAATGAGATTCTCCAATTTTATATGAATCATTAATACAATATTCTATATAGACTATGATAAGTTAAGGAAGTGTATAGTAATCCCTAGACAACCACTAGAAATATAATAAAAAGTATAAGTAAAAGGACAGTAAGAGGAAATAAAAATGAAATGTATCATATATTTGATTAATCCAAAGAAAGACTGGAAAAGAGGAACACTGGAACAAAAACCAGAGACAACTAAAAACAAGTAACAATTTGGTAGACTTAAAATCAATACGTCCATTTAATACAATAAAAGACAGATTGTCAGGCTAAATAAAAAAATCAAGATCCAACTGTATTCAACCTATAGGAGAGACACTTTAAACATAAAGATTCAGTGAATTGGAAGTAACAGGATAGAAAGGTATACCACACAGATAGTAGGATAAAGCTAGTGTGACCGTATTGCTTTCAGACAAGGAAGATTTGAAGAGAAAGATTATTATGAGAGGTAAAGGGGGATTTTTCTTCATTATAGAAGGGTTAAACAAACATATATAAAATCCCTAATCTGTATGTACCTGTATTAGTTTCCTAGGGTTGTCACAACAACTACCACAAACGAGGTGATATCAACCAATGAAAGTTTATTCTCTTGCAGTTCAAGAGGCCAGAGGTCTGAAATCGAGGTGTGGGAAGGGCCATGCTGCCTCTAGAACCTGCAGGCGGGACTCCTTTCTTGCTTCTTAGCTTATAGTGGTTTACTAGCAGTCTTTCATGTTCCTTGGATTACAGCTACAGCATTTCGGTCTCTGCCTCCACTGGCATATGGTATTCTCTCCTTCTGTGTGAATGTTTTCCCATGGAATTTTCCTAAGTCATATTGAATTAGGGCGTATCCTAATGACCCCATCTTAATTGATTACATTTGCAAAGACTCTATTTCCAAATAAGATCATATTCGCAGATACCAGGGGTCAGTATTTTAACATATTTTGGGCATATAAAATTCAACCCATAATAGTACATAACAACAAAGTGTCACACTACATGAAGAAAAAAGCAAAGTGAGAAATAGACAAGTTCGTTATCATATTGAAGAAATTAACATCTGTCAGAAATTTGTAGAACTAGACAAAAAAAATTGAGAAGGGTATAGAATATCTGAACCTTGATATAATTAATATTTAAATATTCAACAGCTGCAATACATACTTTTAAAAAAGTGCTACTAGGAATGTTCACTAAGATAGACCAAATGCTGATAACATAGGCCTCGACATATGTCAAAAAACAAACATCTTAGATAGTAGAACTGACTGAAATGGAATTAAATCAGAAATCAATAATAATAAAATATCCAGGATAAATAAAATAAAAATATCCAGATATTTCATAATGAAGCCATATCCTTATAGGTAGCTGATGTATTAAAGAAGAAATTACAAAGGAAATTAGGACATATTTTGAATGGAATGATAATGAAAACACATATATCAAAACTTGTGGAATACAGCTAAAGGAGTATTTAAAAATTTATAGTTTTAAGTGCCTACATTAGAAAAGAAGAGTTTAACAACAGTAATCTATGTTCGAACTTAACAAGCTTAAAAAGAGCAAATTAAGCCAAAAGTAAGTAGAAGGAAATAATAGATAAGAGAATGAACCAATGAAAAAGAGAGCAGACAAATGACAGAGAAAATCAAAGCCAAAAGTTGATTCTATGAAAAGTTAATAAAATTAATAATTTATTGGGTGGATTAATCAAGGAAAAAAGAAATTGCTTAAATTAGGAATGAAAGGGGTTATTACTACAAACTCTACTGACATGAAATGAGCAATATGGTAACATCAGCAAAGATGGCAGAGTAAGGGCCTCAGAAAATTCTGCCTCCAGAAAAGGAAACTAATGAGAATTGTCAGGATCAACTTTTTCAGAACTCTGGAGATTAGTGAAGAGCTTACAATTCAAGGAGTGCTTATTCAATGCAAGTGGCTGAATCTTGGTAAGAACAGCATGCTTTGTGGTGTTTTAACTTGCCCTATTGCCATTATCCATCCCCAACACCCCCCTCCTCCCCAGCTCTCCATGATAGTCTTGGAAACCAATAGTCTGCAAATGTGAGCTCTTGGAAAACACTGGGGAACTTACTGGTTCTAAGCATTTAAGGAAATCCCTATCCAATCATTAGGTGATCACTAAGACAACTAAGAGACTTTAGAAGCAACACATGACAAAGAATACAGACTTAATGAAATGCAGGAAAACCACTAAATAAATAGCAAGAACAAACAGTCACAACAACAAATCCTTGGAGGGGAGGGGG